AGTAGTGTTGTGTGTGTGTGTGTGTGTGTGTGTGTGTGTGTGTTGTGTATGTGTTAACATCGCAACATGAAACGCAAAATTAAACGTGTCTAAATAAAATTGACATCAAAAATATTTTTATTTTTTGATCTCGATTACATAAACATAAATATAAAATTTTAAAGCCTCGATCAATAATAAAAAAATCATCAAATTTGAAAATTTATATAAGCATATGTTACAATATGTAACACGAAACAGCATGTAACATGAAAAATGTAATATGAAAAAGCATTTTTGCTCCATTTTTGAACTCTCGAATTCAAATACATATTTTTAATCAGCAAAATGATTTATCCATATTTTTTTATTGTAAGTCTTCAAATACAAAATTTCTATTAAAGAAGCAAAGATATTTCAACGCTGCACAATTTCATTTCTTTGTGCGATTTCAAAAGTTCAACAGTCAGCAATTCTAGCATTAACTTAAAATGCTTTAATGATAAAACATTTTACGAGTTCTGATTGCTATCTAACTAAAAATCATCTCAAGGTTACCCTTATTAACTTATTACATATCTTTTATCAATAATAAATATAAGTCATGTTTGATTCAAATCAAATTAAACGATAAGGAGAGTGCGATGTTATAAAATTTATTAATTTTTAATCCCAATTTTTGCATCGTAATTTATACATTATTATTATTTTATGATCGATGTTATAATTGCATAGATTTATCATTGATCGGTGATTTAAATCCGACATAGTCTCGCGTAATAATAATTCTTTCACGAAATAAAGTGATATATTAATCTTTCCTTCCAACTAAACGAGAAAAGTATATCGATAGATATAATCTGTCCTTGTATTTCGTGATAACGCGATGGATATTTATAAAAGGCGATTTGCTTGAATTCGGCCAGTCGTATTTAGACAGATCGGAGAAGTCGAGGATCGGAGTGTTAATAGGAACGATATACGTTTTTTTTTCTCTTTAAGTTCGTTGAATAAAGAGTAGGGCGATGAAGGGTGAGTGTTGAAAAATATTTAATCAATTTCTATAATAAAATTATTAATTGAATTAAAATAATTGAGATATATTCATACACGTTGTGTGCGGAGACTTTTTAACACATTTACATAAATAATGGATATCTCTGTTGTAACAACAAGTCGAATCACGATTCGATCGTATCTCATTCGACGATTCTTAACATTAGACGATTTTTGTTGCACAGGAGTATACGTGATCACCATCGCCTTCCTGGCACCCTGGGCTGTGAGTGCCTTAAACATCCCCACGGTATGCCCATTCCCAGAAAGATTCCCGGAGAACACCACGACCAATCTTCCGCATGAAACCGATTGCACGAAATTTTACAAGTGCTTTTTGGGTAGAGGAATCATACAAGATTGTCCCCTGATGACCAAAGGAGATTCGTATACGAGGCTGCACTATAACAGACGTCTGCAGGTCTGCGATTGGCCATGGACAGCCGGTTGCGAAAGTTGCCCTGGAAAGGACCATCAAGGCAGCTTGCCGCCGTATCCGAGTTACATAGGACACGAAATCAACAAATGTAATCAGTTTTACCACTGCTCGGTGGATGGTCGTGCGTCGGCGCAATATTGTACAGACTCCAGTACGTGCTTCAGCCGCACCTGCCAGAGATGCGTCCGAAATAGGGACGGTGGACGTTGCGATGGTTCTTCAACCCCGTGGCCGATTCCAAGAAAGTGCGAAATCAACGATAAAAAATCTCACGAATGTGACTGCGCCAAATATTATCAATGTAACAACAGTGAGGATTGGATTGTACAATCGTGCACTGGTGGTCTACACTTCAGTCCCTCGTACAAATACTGTATGGAGGCAGACAAAGCTGGCTGCACACTACTACCATGGTAAAAGAAAAATAATCAGAGCTTATTTTCAAGAATGTCACGAGCGCGAATTGTTTCACAGAATATAAACAGAAAATTCACCATTCTTGCAGATTCCTCTTTGATAAAGACAGATATACGACGCATCTCTCCTCCATCCCGGAAAATGTAAAATATACAAATAGTCAAATGAAAAAAATTACGGAGACGATTGTGCACAGAATAGGTCATCAATTTCGAAAGATATTGAGCTGAAAGTAGTGACGAGTACAACAAAACAAATCACTTTAATGAAATTATTATTATTATATTGGTAAGAGTAGATTAGTTTGTTAAGATATTTTAATAAATCTGATATAAAAATTTTTTTCCTTTTCTTCTTTCATCTTTCCGTTTTCTTTTGGAAATTTCTTATCAATGTGATATTTCGATAAAACCTTCTCTGTCACACAAATTGTTTTGCCACTTCTAATTCAGATAAAAAATTTACGATAAAATAATCTTATTTGATAATCTACAGCAAAATAAGTCAAAGATGCCAATTATCACTACAATCACAATAATATCAACAAACACGAATATGGAGCGTTGGATTATCAGCGTATATATATATATATATATATATATATATATATATTGTAAAAAAGATAAATCAAAATTCCTTCCCCCATTTCATTTTTGGACACGGAATTATCGCGAATCTTATCGTCCTGTCTCCGAGCGCGCGTTCCTAAATATTCCACGGGGGGCGTGCAGAAGTATTCGCGTAAAAACCGTGAAAGACAAAGCCAACAAGAGGCTTACAAAAAGCGCGAGAAACACCGGCAGCATTTCGATTCCGGTGACACAGTGACACGGAGCCTATCAGCCGAAACCCTCCATTCGGCGGCCGTTTCTGATAAATAGAACGGTACCGGGAACAGTGTCGCGAGTCCCGACAATGGGCCGCCGGAAGACCGGGGCAGCTTTAATTTCCCCCCGTAGTTCCTGGCAATTACCGCGCGGCGCGACCCGATAGCCATCTCTATCTCCGACCACAATGCCGCCAGTTCCGACGCACCCCGTTCCTTGCCACCTTGCCAGCGATTTACTTCCCTCCTCACCCACGGAACGTCGTCGACCTTCGACGATTTTTCTTTTCCCAACGCGACGTGATACACGAGCTGTCCGATGTCCCTACAACCGATTGGATGGATTCACAAATTACCGATGAGACGAATATATATCTTCCAAAAATACCTAGAATATCGAGTAATTGCGTTCTATATTATTTTACAGTACATACTTTTGTTAATCATCACGTAAAAATATTCTTTGTTAAATTGTTTATCACCAAATTAAATATATCGTTACAATCATTTTTGTTAGAAATATTCATTGGATGTTATAGTGCGAACGATTGTATCGTTCACAACTCTCATAAGACGCACGTTTTTTCAGACGGCAAAAAACGTTTGCTTTTGTACAAATATGTATTCTTAGAGAAACACGAATAATATACACTGTGTATATACAAAATATGTAACATAAGGCAACTGAAGCGGAATAGATCTTTAAATTGCAATCTATATTTGATAATTGCGGAACAGCAGACTTTTTTCTTGTATATCTTTATATTTTTATGATTATAAACACCCCGAGTTTTTTTTTTCTAATGTCGGATTTCCTTTTTTATTATATCTCATCTAAAATTATTTAAAATGTCCGATATTAAGAAACAAACGAAACGATATTTTGCATCGACAAAATATTTTTGTTATTGAGAATAATTTCGAAATAATAGACAGGAGAAAATGATATGGAAAAATGAGAAATCGATCGACGGACGTGACAAGAGTCAGACACCTTTTTTCATTAGTATAAAATAAATTGTGCCAACTTTTATCAACTACGACTTCGTGATTATTTTATATTCTTTCGAGGAACGTACCGCCCTCGATACACTAAAATGGATTCGTATAAATCAGGAGAATTGATTTGATAATTAACAATGGCAAATAGTCTCAATGGTAAATAGAATTAAAATTAAAATTTATCCTCTCGGGCGTTACAGCTCGTGTGTATAAAGCTTTTTTATCACTTGTATAAAATAAATTCATCTGATACAGCGTTCGTGGATATAACGCGATTAGTTTCTTCCGAGGACCACGTTACTTATTTACGCAAGAGAGATGCACGTGCGAAGCCCGAGAATTGGGTCGGGTGTTTAACAACTCGCGGCCGAGCTCCTTCGAGGAGCTCGTAAATGGTGCGGGACGATTGGAGCACGACTGCTTAAGTTCGGTTACTGGGGAAAGAAGAAGGAAAGGGTGCGCGAACGACAGCGGATAAATTCTACCTCCCTCTCTCTTCCTCCCTCCTTTATCCTCCCCCTCCGCCTTCTCTCTCTCTCTCTCTCTCTCTCTCTCTCTCTCTCTCTCTCTCTCTCTCTCTCTCTCTCTCTCTCTCTCTCTCTCTCTCTCTCTCTCTCTCTCTCTCTCTCTCTCTCTCTCTCTCTCTCTCTCTCTCTCTCTCTCTCTCTCTCTCTCTCTCCCTGTCTCACGGCAACATTATCGTGTTTTAATTTAACTTGTAGCTGCACTTTAATTAGACTTTGGCTGAATGAGGAGACGACGCTCGACGAGCAAAGCGAATAAGTACTGGCAAGTAAACGGGAGGCGAACTCTATTCCTCATCCATTTCCCTGTCCCTTGGCGACCTCCTCTCCCCCTCCCCCTGCACCGTCTTTTCCTTCCCCACCTATCTGGTTAGACAGAAAATTCGAGTGATAAGGAAAGAGCGCAGCGGAAAAGGTAGGTAATTGGCCAATGCCGACAATACGGCCGGCAACGTCGCTTCTACTTAATTTTTCTTCTTTCTGTGACTTTGCTTTGTAATAAGAAAGGTATTCCTTGTAATAAGAAAGGTATTCCTTGAGGAGCACATCTTCGACGCGATTATACGAAAAAGTTCCAGTATATTTCTGGAAATATTCGAAAATATTTATCGCGCTTCTCTCTCTTTCTCTCTCTCTCTCTCCTTAATCATATCCTTCGAAAAATTTGCGGACCACTTTCCACATACTAATTCAATCATTAATATAATTATTATATCAAGTTGAAATTGGAACAAATATTTTGTTAATTGATCAAATTAAGCAGATCGTAGACCATAAATTAATGAAATAATTTTTTTTATCGCGTAAATTACTCTTAAGCTAAATCGCGCCTCGTCGGATTTCAGAAATCGTCGCCGGATCTCCCGCTTCGAACACCTCGAAAAAACGTGCTTCCGACGTAAGGGGCGTTTCCGCTCACGCGGCCATTCAACTGTCGATATTACTCCGCTCCGCTCGCGCGAGCGTGAGGCGCCAGCTGCTTTCTACAGCCGTACACATTCTTCGCGGAGCTTGCAACGCGAAACGCAATAAATCTCCCGACTCTTCCGCTCGTAACGTTTCCCGTTGCTCGAAATAATGACATAGCGAAGCCATGGCTCGTGTAAGTCGGTTTTCAATGGCGCCCCTCATCTCGCGCGCGCCGGTGTCTCTTCGCGCTTAATGAACGCCGAAACTGTCGCGAAGCCTCACCCGTACCTTGGCGACGCCTTTTCCATCCCTCTGTGCTCGTCGACACGAGCTTCGCCAACAATCGCGACAATGGCGGAGTCTTCGTCGTATTCCAACGATCACATCAAAGGCGATCGCGAAGTCCTATCATGACCCCCGCGAAAGTTCACCCGACTGGATTAAACACTGGATGATCGAATTCGGCATACGGGTTCCTCGAAATCACGTGCGTCAACGAAACAACTCGATTTTCTCAGGCATTGCCCGCTCGACATAGTCAGACACATGAAAAATCATGTAAACTTAAAATATTCAAGATCGCAAAAAAATCAGACGACACCTTGTCCCATAGTTAATCGAAAGAGGGAAGTGCACATTATTTGGAATCTTTTGCCATCGTGCCACTTTCATTTTCGTACGCAACAGTTCGAAAGAATGTCTTTCTTGTTTTATTCTTTCTTCCATTTTCCATTTTTTTTTTTTCAGGATTCTAATTTTATTTCCTGAGTTTTCCACTCTCTCTGAGAACCTCTGTTCCAGGTCGAGAGCACTTATTCGGGCCATAACTCTGTGCGCGTGTTCCCTCCATTTCTGCCATCCCGCCCTCATAAATACACGACGACGACGACGACGACGACGAGAAAGAGGAACAGCAGACCAACGAGGAGGAGGGACGGTGGCAGCAATAGTATACAGCTCTCTGGCGGATCCCGGGACGAGAGGACGACGAAGGGGTGGGCGGCGGATGCGGAACGCGGGACCTTAAAACAAATATATCGCGCGTAAATCCAGCGTGGATGTACGTAAGTCTCTTGCCGGGGGTTCCTGGATGTGTCTCCCTAAACGGAGACGACGTCGCGGAACGCCGCGAGGAAAGAGAGCGGAGCAAATCGCCGACGTTTTGCTTTACATATTTCCCGTGGAATTGTCGCAGTCGTGGCGAGAGGGGAAAAAAAAAATCACGTAACTGTGTGTCAGATCGTCAGAGATAGGAGAAGTAACAAGGCGGATGCTTAAAATCCCCATTTCTTTTCTTCATTTTTCACACGGACATTTCAGTACATCTTTTTTTTTGTACTTTTTCTCGTGATCTTAGATTTGTAATTTTATGAACTATGGCGAAAATCGCAAAAAAAAAAAAAAAAAAAAAGGTAAATTTTACAAGCCAAAAGAGTTTCCCGGCTGGATCAACTGAACCCCGTGGCAGACCGAGCGTACATATCCCGTAGGCGAGTACCAGGATTCATGAATACCGAAGTATTTGCCAAGCGCGTACACCGATAGCGTCGAAGCGTCATGCGGACAATTTTACATCCGTACGCATTTGTATCTTCGTTTCACTGTCAAAATATATATATTCACATTTCAGAAATTATGCACCTTGTGAAACAACGAAAAAGTTGTAAAATTTTTATTTCTCAAATATGTAATTCATGAGTTTTAATTTCAAGGAAAAAACACCTAGCTCGCTATTTTCTCCGAGTTCTAAAATGATTGCAAGATTAACTCGCGAGGTTGCAACCTCACACACGGTGAATCCTTAAATCTTCTTAAAAAATCTAGGCAAAGATCGAAGGCTGTGCGTGTCTCGACGCCGAAGTAATCGCCGAAGTTCTTCCGAAAGTTTGATTCCGGCGGAGTGTCTCCGATATACACACCCCGTATATACGTTGGCTCGGTACGCGTCGTGCATGTAGTCGGCAAAGTCCCCGCGGGCTTAATACGGTATGCACGTCTGTCGTTCGCAAGCTCGACCCTATGCGGGCTCGAATCCGCTACCAAGCTAATATTCCACGAGAGGGCCCCGAGCTACGTGCTCG